TATTCCCCCATGTGTTATTCATGTGTTATTGCGTGTTATTCATGTGTTAATTGTGTTATTTTGTGTTATTATAACACTAAGAATATTCTCATGACACAATAACACATGAATAACACACAATAACACTTGAATGACACGGGGAATATTCCCGACATGGGATTAGTCCCGACATAGAAAAAAGCGGCGCAGTAACACGGGGAATATTCTCCTCCGTGTTATTCTTGTGTTATTGTGCGTTATTCATGTGTTATTCATGTGTTATTGAAGTATTATTGTGTTATTATAACATCAAGAATATTCCCAGGACACAATAACACATGAATAACACGGGGGGAATATTCCCCGTGTTACTGCGGCATTTTTTTCTCTGTCGTGTGGGGTATCGTGACGTGATTTCATTGGCTACGCACGTTACTCTACGTATGAAGTACTGATGTAATATTTTTTCATACAAGAGGCTCTTTAAACAGCCAACGTGCAAGATGACAATTTTTTATATTCCTAAGAGAATATGATTATTAGCTTTTTGTTGGACATAGTTGGTCGATACACTTTTGTGCATATTTATTGTACAATTTTATGTAACCAAATAATGCAATGTCACTATTTTATATAGTGCTGATAACTATTCCACTAGAATGTTTTCTCTATTATTTTGGTTCCATCTTGGTCATTCATGGTATGGACTATTATTATATAGTTATTTTCAATTAAATTCATTCAAATCTTATTTTTCTCTCCAATTGGCCACTTTCAAATTTCAGATGTATCTGAGATACCTCAAGAAAAAATATTTATAATATTTATAATACTCATATTAAATTTTAAATTTTAATTTTCTCCACCCACATCTTTATTTATAATTATCTTTATAAAAAAAATTGTAATTTGCTCCAAACAAATCCTTAAATGGCATTTAAGAATATTAGCGCTTCTTGTCTTATTCTTTATTATCATATCTATCCGGAAGGTTAATGATGGTTATTTTTGTAAACAATTTTACATATCATGTTCTCAAAAATATATGAAGAAAAGCTGCAATTTTTATTATTTGGTTTTTCTTAAAACAGGATGAAAGATTCAACTCCTAAACTATAATTGTTACTTGTAAAATTTAAATTTTCAATTCATCAAGAATGAATAATTGTTTTTTTTTTAATTTAATTTTTAAAACACAAAGTAAAAAATCACGAGCATGAAAAACTCAAAAACCTAAAAATGGAGGAGACAGAAGATCTGATCTTATTGAAAAAGACTGTAAGACATGATTATTCATACAGCTCGTGCCTTCTTTCTCCTCCTTCTCTATCAACTCCAGTATAAAATTTTCAAGATTACTATAAGAAGACCCTCCTCCCCCCTCCATTGCGCTCCTCGCCATCTCTTTAAGCTCATGGGCACGCTTCCTTATCCTCTCCGCCTCCCCTCCCTCTCCCATCACGTTCCTCACCGCAGCCTCTAATGCCGCCGCCTTTATCACCGGCCGATCCTCCGATGTTATCCCGAAAACCTTCGAACCCACCGCCACTCCAATCTTCAGCACATCCACCAAAAGCCGCTCCTTGAAGAATTGCTCCGCAAAGAGCGGCCATGTCCCCATCGGCAAGCCCGCATTTATCCCTGCTAAGCACGAATTCCATCCACAATGTGTGATGAATCCGCCCACCGCCGCATGATTAAGTATTAGTTGTTGCGGCGCCCATCCATTGATTAAAAGACCTCTTCCTTCTATTCTCTGCATGTACCCTTCAGGAATCCAATCCTCACCCGCGTTTCGCACCGCCCAAACAAACGGATGGCTCGAAGCCTCGAGCCCAAGTTCCATCTCCCTCAGTTGTGCTGCTGTGAATGCACTTATGCTGCCAAAACACATGTACACTACAGATCCCTGCTTTCTTCCATCGAGCCACTTGACGCATTCTTCGCCTACTTTGGTTTCTCCTCGCCATCCAAACATATCCGCACCTTCTTGGTTGCAGAGAGTGGCAGGACCGATGAGCCACGCCTTCCTCCCCATCACTTTCCTAAAATGCTCCACATAGTCCTGCTCCAGCTCATAGAAACTGTTCACCACCAATCCGTAGCTGTTTGAATCGACCTCCTGCGCTTGATTGAAGATCTCGAGCACAGAAGGGATTGATTTAATGGGGTCTTCGACTTGCGATCGGAGTAGCTCGATGTGATGCGGGAGGTCGGGGAGGACGAAGGACTCTGCTTCTTGCTGTAGGTTCTCAATGACCTTATGCCTCTGGATGCTGTCAAAAGCACACCGCGCAAACAAACTGGAGCCGTCAAAAACGATTCTTTGTACGCCATTTTGGGCGCAAACTTGATGGGTCCATGGCAAGAAGAAGTCGGAGACAACGAAGTCTGGGCGGAGTTCTTTAAGGAGAAGGTCGAACGGGTGGTGGAGAAAGGCAATGCCTTTGATAAATTTGGATAGATGATCGTCGGAGAAAATGGAGGAAAAGCTCTCGCATCCCTCGGGGAGACCGGCGGCGGCTGAGGGGAAGGGGAGGAGGTGGAGGCGGATGGGAGAGGTGGCGGAGGAATTGAAGCGGTCGATAATGGGGCGAAGGAGAGTAGCGTTTGCGAAGGTGGGGGGGGGAGGGGCGGCTGGGGGGGCG